CTGGTCGCATGCTGCAACTTGTTCACTAGAACAGAAAGTTCAAGGATTACAACAAAATTCTTTGCCCCTTAAAGAGCATACGTGTCGGAACTACACAAATTTATAATTATGAATTAGCTCCATCAGATAACGGATTCGATTCAGTGCCAAAATACTCGTCGCTGTCCACTTACCTTAATTAGCTTGAGGAAGTCCTTCTCACAAGCAATGATCTTAGAGAGAGAGAGAGAGAGATAATATATCACTAGAACATACCTAAACAGTCAGTATAAACTCAGAACTTAGTCGACGATTAAGTAAATGTATGACGTCGCAAGATCTTTACATTCCTCTTAAGAATTTATGTCAGCTTCTAAGCTATTTGCATAACCGCAGGCTATCTATCTCATACTCATCTTGCAAGATAGTTTAACATTTTAAAAACACGTGGGGCATGTGAGGCAAACAATCTGTTTCCAAAGAGATGGTATTACTTCGTTGGAACAGTGCCCCTTCAGCAAAGGAAATATATGACCCTTTTTTTTTCTAAGGAATCGCTTCTTGCCGCGGACGAGGGAGCTAATCTAGCTAAAAATAATTGCTGGACGATCACGACATGATCCCATTACTTTGTTGTGTAGATGTAATGGATCAACCGCACGATGTTAGTCACATAGGGTGTTCGGTCGAAAAGGTTCGTTCAATAGATTGAGGACACAATTTTTTTGGTAGAGATGGTCGATCAAACGATGTGGTTTGGCTAGCGGATATATATTCATCTTCCGTTCACTCCTTCGGTTGGATGCGTAACTTTCTCGGGTCTAGGTAGGCGGTGCTAGTTCCCTGTAGTGCCTCTTCATTTAGGAAGAGAACCGAAGCCATCCTGCTTGCCCACTGCAGCCTGTATCCCTATCTTAGTTCACAAAGGAACAATGATCTACTCGTTAATGGTACTTGTAGAATCATATATGATTGCCTCATTCAGTGGGATTGGAAAGATGAGTTATGACTGAGAATCCATCTTTTTCCTGCCAAAGATTGAACAATAACTATGGGTTTTAGATTTTTAAAAAAACTGCAAAATTGTCGGCACTGCGCCAACATACAGGAAAAATGCGACTTTCGGTATATTTCGATATAAAAATTTAATTATATTTTGGCTTCATCTTCTCGACTCCCTTTCTAAATCATAAAAGCTACATTGTGCTTTTGGTGCCACCGGCTTTCCCCTATTAATCGCTTTTGATGAACGCAAAACATTTTCGTATATAGCAAAAACATCTGTGAAAACTACATAATGTTTTACTTTTTCTTTCGTTCGATGATTTGACCACTGGTAAATTTTGATAGCTGCCTTCCAAATAATCAGACTGCACTGCTCATATGTTTCAAATTTGATGAGCTTAACACACTGATGTACGCCCGTTTACTATTTCATACTGACCATTTGCAAGAGAATAATTTTTTTGCGAGTCCACAAATGTAAATGCGCGGCTCCTCATCGACTATATATATGTGTATGACCTAATGTTATAACTCGCTCTAGCTACCAAATTAGATGCGTCTGTAATAGCCTATAGGTGTACTCGCCTCATTGTACCCTTCAAGGTCTTCACTATTTGATGTAAGGCTGGATCGAAGGGAAGGAAAGCGTGGCGCAGGTCACTAACGGTAAGTCTGGCTTTTCGTCCATCTACGTCGTAAAGCTAGTCAATTAAATGTTGGATCATATGAACAGAAATTGTCGATGAGACCATTAGAGTTCCAGATATTTCCTTAGAGGCCACTTCACCATATAATAGGCAATAGTGCAATCAGCAAACGTTTACGAAACGGCGAATAGACGTTAGCCGATTGAATATTATATTTGTTGGCACATGTTATAAGCTTTAGTTTAAACTGGGAATGATCCAAATGGCAAAGGTAACTTGAACTAGTAAAGATTTATTTTACACTTTAACTTCTTTCGAAAGTATTCAGTGTTTCACAATCCACAATTTATAACATTGAAGAGCCAAGCCTGAGTCGTTCAAGAGGAACCGTAACAAGCTGGCGGTCAAAATATAGTTCCTTTTTATGGTCTGATGTTTTTAGGTAACGAAAACATTATTTCTATCGGCGTTCTGCCTAGATATTCATTTTCAGATAGAAGCCTGTTAGCACGAGACGCCATTACTTTAGAACCAAATTTTATGACCTGATTAAGCGGCATCCTGTCCCAGCTCGGTAAATATTGTAACAGGTCATTATTATTTAACACAATCAAGTATGCAACGTGAACGCAACGGGATTCTTATTATGAGATGATGGTATAAGAGGTATAATGTATGCTCTACGTACAACGATGCGACGACTTACTATTATACAGAATGTATATAACCGGCACAAATCCTTATGGAAGCACTATCAGAAAACTGAAAAGCAGTACTTGGTAAATGCTGGTGAGTAGATCTTAAAGTAGAACATCCGACCCGCCACTGGCTTCGCTTCGAGAATTACCACAATTTATAACCTTGATGATCGGTAACGAGAAAATACATCGATGTTACTGCCTAAAGGTGTTGTCGTTGTAAAAGCAGTCAAATGAACGAACTGCATGAATTGAATACACACATGTTTGTAAAAAGATAGATGCACAGGGTGAGGGGTGAATTCAATTAGATGATGATAACATAGCACGTCCGTGCTGCAAAATTCCTACGTTCGGGATGCTTTTGTTGTGTACGTCAATTTATCTCTGCAAGCCTTTTCATAAACACGTTTCACCTGTTCAAGTCATCATACAAACGGTCTGTCGGGTAAGTAGACTCGAGCGCGGTTCAGGGTTGAGACAGAAGATGTGAGGGCTGTGCGGTGTGTCGTTTCTTTCATTGTGACTATGCTAATCTGTCGAGCATTCTATTTCCCAGAGGTCCCTTTGCCTAACAACCATTGCGAGAACATTACCTTTTCTGTCCGTTGTTACCGCAAATCACTCAAGGTCGTTCTTTAATTAGCGATTTAACGCCACAATAGGCAGGGTGCAAAGGAAAACAAATCAAATAGGCTTTTCACAGGCGGCATATAGGTGAACGATGGCAGTGATCAAGACATTCAATCAAGCTATGCCTTTACGCAGCGTTGCAGCCAGCATGCGGCCAGCACGTACTGGCAACCGCTGCGTCCTCGTCCTGTAGTATATCCACACATCACTGGAATCTGGCAATTATGTACACCGAACTTATATAGTCATCGAATCGTGCCGCGTCATCGCGCAGCGTACGCGACGAGTAAAAAGGAACACAACGCGTCCCTGTAGTGAATGAATGCTTCATCTTTCTTTTTATTTTCTCTATTTTAATTATTCCCTCCTCTCTACGGTGCCGTTGTGTTTGCATGTCGCTTCGTGTCTAGCCTCTGAACGTATCGGCAATGGGGGCAATATGTTACATGAAGTGTAAGCCTGTAAACGACTAATTTATGAAACATCAGTTTATGTCAGCTCAAGATTTCCATCTCAAAATAGGTGGAGCCTTATTTTGGCAAACGGACAAAGAATAGATGTTCTCCAATATGCTTGTTATGATACGTTGTAAAGCATGTAGCATTGTCCACGCAGATCTGGCTTCCGGGAGGTGCTACAAAGATACGCGTGTGCACAGATAACGGATTTACACCACAGCGTGATATCAGTTCTGCACGGTATTGGATGACCTAATAGTGTCTAATTAAAGCTTTAGACACAACGCGGTAAGTTGCCCATATTTGTTAGATATGAACACATTCGTGTCCATTATATACATATGTGTATATATATATATATATACACCCTATCTAATTCAAGTTAATATTTCGTGTTGGGTGGAGATTTTCAAAAACATTGACAAACAAAGGTTGCCCAAATACTTGGAACCCAACCGATGAGATGAAGTATACGGAAGTCATAAATATAGCTAGGATCTGAGATAAAATGAACAGTAATTTTCATTTGTCATTATCTGTATACATAACTACTGATTAATATCGAAAGAAGGGCAGTCGTTATCTAGGGTCGAGTATTTGTGCATTGCTTTGATTACTACCCTATATTCCCGCTTTTAGATTTCTAGCAGACGATAGTTAGATGAAAGCATTCAGTGAGTCCTTTGTTGTGTTTGGCCACAATAGCGTATGATGCGGTGCATATTGGTAATATTTTACAGTTGCTTAATTCCTAAATTAAATCTAATACAAAACACTGTAGAAATATATATAATAGTGATGATAACAAGTGTATTATCATAATTGCACAGTATTATATTAATTACAAAGCTTTACATAATTAACAGCAAAACATCACTTTGTTTACTTTGTTTTAGTCGTTCGTTGATGAAAACCTAATGACTTTTCTTTTTCCACCTTCCAAAATAAAATACCTCATCAGATGAAAAGCTGTAGCTCAAACAGTTGTACAACTGAAGTAGCCATACAGAAAATCGTTTGTTAGTCCTCCACAAGCGTGTCCTGCAAAAATCACGTGCACATCCAATTATATCATTTGGGATCTGCAACGAGCACTTACATGAAGGTATATAGGACATTCCCGTAGCACATATGGATGATCTATGCTAAAGTTAACCACCCACGACGACGACCTTTCTAACAGTACGGCTAAAACGCAGTATACGCCTTGACCTGTAAAGTTGAATTGCGCTTCTGATTAGGCTTATAGAGCATAAGATTTACAAAGAAATGATCCAGCAGCTTGGTATGGCAGATTTTGGTAACCGTGGTAGCTTGAAGAACAGCTTTTTGTGTGTTTTGGTCCTACATTTCTAATTACCGTTGGTTCGTTCTACCGACAAAAGTAGAGCAGGTTTTTACAAACAAATCATCGAAAGTTATGATGAAGCTATTGCGTCTCTAGGCTGATGATGAGGTGTCCGAAATGGGCAGTACAAAGGTACAATGTTGTAAGTTACCCATTTCCGGGCGAGCTGTTGTTTATGTTTATTCTAGCGCCAGTCCAAACGGATCAACCTTGATGCTTTCAACTAAATTTTTGACGCAGACGACATTTAACTGCTGTAGATATTTTTCCTAAGGCTAGGAATTAAGAACGATTTTCCTAGAGTCTATGCGGATGATTTAGATTTCCATGGATTTACTTTCAAGGTCGACTTGTGTCACTAGGTTTATTTGAATCTGCTCGGGAACATGTTTATTATTAGACAAAAACCAATTTGCGCTTCAGGGCGTATTTTCGCAGTCACGATGCACTACGCCAATGTTCCAATGTAACAAGGTAATAGATTCGTCAACATCTGTTATAATCATTTTCTTTCGTAACTTGTTTAGGCCTAATCTTAGCACTTTGTGCTCCGCATCTGCTAGCTTTTATGTACTTTAAGCTGTATACAACGGCTACAACTTGTGATCAAGACCGTATGGCTTAATTTACTATGCTGTGCTTACAAGACAGTGAGTTCGCCAGATTTAAAGTGAAGCCAAATGTAAGCTGAAGCTGTAGATATAGGAGGGCTGAAGAAATTTTATCAGGTGAGTAACGCGACATAAATAGTTGTGTGCTTAATCCCGTAGGCATCGTCCATTGATGAAGATGTGGAAGGCCTTACTTATGTTATTGAAAAAATGCAACCAAATTGACCCATGGCGCTTCTTCCTCAACAACTTTATCGTCCCTTTGCTACTTCTCACACTGTGGATTATCGCAGAAAACCACAACTTTGTAACCGTGATACCCAATATTCGTTTCGATGCTTTCTCTGTCTCGGATCCGAGTCAGACACAGGTAAGCTCTGAAGCTTTCGGTAAAACTGTTCATAAAAGGGTACAACGACATAAATACAGGCTTGGAAACTCCTTACTAGATAACTGTAAACATATTTAATGTGGCTGAACAATATGAATTAAACTGTGTTAATCTTCTCTGAAATGTCAGAAAAAACATATCAATAAATGGGTAAGTTGCTCAGAATAAACTCACAAATATAAATTAGTCTAATAATTTCACGTGCGTTATGTTCCTTCGAAAATTACAGCTATACAGCCCGCGTATGGGGGCTTTGGCTGTAGAAGTGTTTGCGGTGGAAAACCTTTTCACCAACAATCACACTCGAAGCCATGAAGACCATGGCTTCCCCATTGAAAAGATCCAACAGCGTTTGACCCAACAGCTTAAGGTAACCTTATATTGTGGTAATAAAATTGTGATAAACTCTCCCATCGAAAAGTGGGTTGTGATAGAATACGCAAATGGACTGATCTCTCTATGGCTACGTGGGTGAACTGTCGAATGGAAACGTTGGCGGTAGACATCAAATGCTTGCGAAACCTATAAACGACTTTTCGAATGTTGTAAATGTCACTTACCTTACTGATTGGAATAGTTGCTAACTAAATCAGACGTCCATAAACCTTCAAGATGGAGCTTTGCATTTAGAAGAAATAAAAAAAGAAACTATTTGGTCAACCCATTCACACCTATTTTAAATGCGTAAAAAGGGCTTTTACTAGAGTTGTAGCAGAACTATTCTATGTATCAGAAGATTCCCTCCGGCCGAATTCGACGTAAAGTTATCAGTTTTATTTCTCATTCGTAGAACTTAACAAATTAAGAAATTTAATATTCATGGTGGCTCTTTTTTTGCCCCACTAATTAACTACTATATTGGTATGAGTGCGTTGATATTAAAGATATCCAGAATAGCAATGCAAAACCTGGGTCCATATTGGCGTGCTGCTTGAGGTGACGGATATACGTTCGTCCCTTGTTGTCCATGATAGAACGTCTTCTTCTGAAATAAAAATGATAATTCACCTGATGGATGTTCGTTTTCGGCATATATGCGGAAATCAGCTACTGTCCAGTGCTTTGGCAGTAAGACGAGCAAATTCCTACAGAAATGATAAATATATAATATTGATAGTTTATGCTACCGTCGGTCATTGCAAGGCTTTTTAGTTGTGTACAAAAGCGTACACACAATAGGAAATGAGTAAAAAAAACATTAGAAAATCTATCAAGCAAGCAATTCCGGATAATCCAGAAACGTTGATGCAGAGGTTTTCTAGCATTCCGCTCTTGTAGTCGCCCAGATACGCCTCAATAACTAGAATCCTTGCACCTTTTACTACTTTTTTTCGAACTCTTTTACTATTTCCTACGATTAAATTTTTAAGACACATTTATGTCCGTCTAATTTCTCGTATTTTTTAGTTATTTTTGACTGATGTTTAACATACTTTTTTTTTAATGGAAATTCCTGGGATTAGTTGTGAAAGTAACTTGTAAACAATCCAGACCCTAGACGGAAGCTACTAACGAGAGATTAAAGAAACGTATTTGTCTGGGATATTCTCGTTAGTATGCGTCAGCATACGTCATATAAATGCTTATTTTCATTTAAATCTGGTTTGTTAAATTGGTTGGGTTTTATCTTGCTAGCCTATTCTAGGATCTTTATTAACATCTTAAATCTGAGTAAACTCATTATGCCTAGCATTTGGAAATGCGTGAACGATTTCTTTTAATTTTTTTTTCATGTGCTTAGAAGAAACTTGGGCATGATTGGACAGCAGATTATCTGTCGATTGAGAATTGTAATTTTTTTTAACCGTTTCCTACTAATTGTAAGCTACTTTAGTGCTCAAGACATCCACTAGCATGACTGCATAATTTACGAAATACAGGATTTTGGCATTCGCAAATCCGTTGGCGGTGGCACCGATGATGTGCAAGTGCTCGTCTATCGCCTTAACTCCACCGCGTACGTATCCGTCTTCTGTCAACCTGCTCTCGACACCAATTCTATCTTCCTCTTCGCCAATCTGTTAGTACTTAGTCAAACGTAAGCGCATATAATTGCTATTGTTTTATCTACATGCCTGAACAGCAGTTTTTTTTTTTGTCTGAAATATTGGGAATGAACGAAGCCTTCTCTCAAATAGTACGCACCACGTCTTTTTCCACTTAAGCGTTGCCGGCAATGGTGTTTACTAGATATTATGCAGTATATCTACAATCTTAATTTTTTTTTCCACTTAATGATCGTGAGGCTACTCTCCAATGGTCCTTCATTGCTTCAAAGTCGCGAACTCGACCTTGTTCGGGACGGATCGGTGTTCGTCATGACTCAGGTAGCCATTGTATTGGCTGACTCTTCTAATGTCACAAATCTGCCCGAAGTCAAAATCAAGATAGATGACATCCATCAAAGACAAATACGCAGCTTCTCACGGGTATTGCTCAAATAATATCGTATTATATACCGGATCCTTATGACAGAGTAAATGACAATGATCGAACAAAATGTGCAACCTTCCAAAAAAAATCCAATTGCCACATGTTAGATTTAGCAGCAATTATCTATTTAATCAGTGATATATTTATTACCAATTATTTGCATGCATAGTAATTTCTGTAAGATTTCGAAAATGTTTTAAATAACTTCGACATCCATTAAGGGGAATTGCATGGCTGATCCATTTTCTGTGCTCTAAATACACAGTACTACTAAGATATCCACTAAGATATTGCGGGAAAGAGTTCCCTTTATAGTGGATTACGTTTTACAGCATAATTGAATGAAGGAAGTTTTTGATAGTTGCCTACTTTGTTTCTTAATTTCTTTTTAATTATTAGGCGGCAATAGAAATAGGTCATTTATAGACTGTTTTTGGGGAGTGCCTTTGGGCACAATGTTGTGAGGTCTAAATTGAGTCGATAGTTAGCGTTTAGGCTTGTACGCTGCTTGAAGCTAACGAACACTGGTGGTATTTCTAGTTTTTTCTTACATCGACATTTAAGGAGAACGCGTTTTGCGTATGTGCTCTTAACTTAGTCAAATCTTTCTGAGCCTATCCTGACAATTAAAAACTATGCAGATACTACGTATCGGACAAATGGCTCGACATTAATTTTATGCAGAGATTATTTTTTTTTCAGAAAAAATCACGCAGGATCTAGTTAGAACAACGTATTGTACAGAAAATTATATGTGTAGCATGTTCTGTATATCTTAGATTACTTATCGGGGCAACTTCTAAGTCATGGATAGAGTTTGCTGATATATAATAAATCCGTACTAATCAGCAAGGTCTGATTCTATCCTCTATTATGTGGAGGCACTCGGTTATGTAGCATAAAGTCGAGCCTCTTACTTATCTATAAATCTGCGTGTTTTTTTGCTTATCATACGTGTGTAGGACTATTATCGGCTGATTCCGTTCGTAACGATCGTTCTAGTTGGACTGCGAGTCGTGTGGCTTCTCGCTCGTATGCAAGAGGAGCTGAAAGATGGCTCAGTAGTAGCTTTCATTGCATACGCGTATCCGAATATATTAAATACCTTTGCTTGGTTAGTCACCCTTGTATTCGAGGTAAGTTTTTATGCTTGGTAACTTGGATACATTTTTAGAATCGAACTTTGCACAAAGACAAGCCAGAACTTTTTAGTTAAGCCCCGTCTCCGTGTTTGGAATCTGTGTCCATCTACCTCAGTTAAATCTACCTACAGCTGCTAAATTATATCGTAAAGTGTAATTATTGAGGGTTCGAGTCTAATAAATTGATAAACTGGTTAACTGTTAACAAAACAGATCAAAGTTTTTTTTTTGTTGTTCAAGATACCATCGCACAAACACTATGCGCTAGCTGATGATTTCAAACATTTAGACGGAATAGTGCAAAGATAACACTGTTAAACCTATACAATGGTGATACTTTCAATTTCGTCCACACAGGGTCAAATTGATGACTGAATAGTTTTTTTTTTATAACTCGAGCGCTATCACACAGGCGTCTGCTTTTGCGCTTAGGCACAAGCATTCGGCACAGGGTGGCTGTTGTCGGTTCCGCAGCAGGAAACGATCAAGCACAGGCAAGCACCGAATAAAAGCTCTCGTTGCCGCCTATAATAACCCTTTAATTGTCATACAAACATACATACATACATATATATA